TGATGATGTACGCGATTTCCTCCGCCTTCAACGTATTCTCCTCAATAGAGAATACTCCGTAGTAGTTCCGGGTGCGGGGAAGCTGGTCTGCCGCAATCACGTGCATTGTACAGAATATCAAGCGCATTGTTCTCTTTTAGCTAATGGCTCTCTACACCCAACCTTAGATTGAAAGGTATTCAAAGTTCTTCAGGAGCGAATAGTTGAGTATCTGAAATCAATCTCAAGTGCAGCTTGAATGTGAAAAGCTGTAGAGTCTTCAATAGTTGCATTTTTCCCGAGCTTGAATACTGCAGAAGTGGTAACTGGGCGCCTGGGAGAGCGACCATAGGTATTTACAAATTTTGAATCATGAACATGGGGAAAAGAGATACACGCATCAGCATGACAATACAATGAAGCCTGGAATAGTGAAGGGGTACCGCCTCTCCTTGAATATCCCAAGCAAGGGAAGTGCATCATCTTTCGAAGTCTTGCTGGTATTGGCAAAGAAGCCGGACCTTCAAAGATCTACATGAATTGGACGGCACATAGGCCCTTGCGATGACATTGAGAACTCCATATTCTCACCTTGGATGATATGCGAGGGACACGATGACTCTGGACGTCTCGGAGTCTTCGATTGGCCAAAGCTGACTGGTATCCTGGTTTCATCGTCGGGTTCGGAGGCATTGCCAGCTTGTTAACAGGCCCCAACGTATGCATCCTTCCGAACAATGGTGGTAATATAACTTGGGACAGCGTTATATGGCTTATTGGTATTTGTTCTCATCATCACGCCTTCGATTCCTTTTGACTTATTCCGTTCTCCGCCGAACATCTCTGTCCTGTGTTTCAATATTGGAGCCATTAAGGGCATCCATAACCAGCTGTCGTAGTTGGTTTTGCGTAGCTTCGCTATGGAAGTCTTCCCGCGCGGCCAGCTCGTCAATCCGCCGTTTAAACTCTGGGTCTACCTGGTCCGTCCCTGCACTCGCTTCCTCCTCCGATACTGTTCCCAGGTTGAGGCTGATATTTGGTGGCAACGTAGGAGGAGCATTCAAGGCGTCTAATGATGAGCCTGCAGGTGCTGCTGGAGATATGCCCATAACTTTTGCGAGATATGCTGCGACATCGGGAAATGCACCGTCGCTCTCAATGGTCTCCAGCGCCGTTAACCCTTCATCGTTCTTCTTATTATAGTCCACACCTAGCTCCTCAACGAGGCATTTGGCGATATCAGAATTCTCAGTCACAAATAGGCACGTCTCGCCGTCCTCATCGAGAAGGTTGACATCCACATTAAACTCTCTGACAAGCGCGCGTAGGAGGTCGGCATGGCCATACGAAGCCGCAGCGTGTAAGAGAGAGTATCCGTGCTCATCTTGACAGGATGCGATAGCTGGATTCGAGCGCAAAAGAGTCAACAGGCCGGAAGGGTTGTCGGCGGCAAGAATGTAGGGATTTGGTTGAGTCATCGTGGCTGTACAATAACAACAGATCTGGGCCTAACAAATGAGTCAACCAGATCAGGGCCGAATCCAGACCGCAAAGAAGCGACTAAATCATCCGAAATTTCATACCTGATAGAGCAGATGGCAATGGTACTGAGTTGTTAGCCAGATAAAAAAGTGCTTTGATCGGCTGGTGATGGTAAGTCGGGCGGTGATATAGTTTTTTTTATTTTCTTTTCCCCTCTGCTGCCCCGCAAATCAGACATTTGGTATGATCTCACTCGTCTTTTTTTGGGTTGTCTCATTTTCCTCGTCCACATCAATTACAGTTGACTCATATAATTCAGGCAGACATTGCAAGGCTTCTTTCTGAGCACGAGGCAAGGGTAGCCGCTCACTTTTCAGAGGTTAGGGGGTTTTTTTTAAAAGAAGCTTCATTCACACTCTCCCTCTAGTCATCCTGGAATCTTGCATCAGTCGTCTTTCCTTCCTTCCTTTCAATTTCGCCTTCTTTCCCTCAAGGGATCACCATTGTACACAGCTACACCTTGCAATCATACTGGTGCATCTCTATAGTGAACAATTCAATATGGTTCAACAGGATCCTCAGGAAGTTGCGCATCTGATCGAAGCCCTGGAGGCCTCCAGTAAGAAGAATAGACGCGAAGGAAAGAGAATATTTACCTGCAAGAAATCGACTTTCGCCGTGGCAGGCTCAGATAACATCTCCGTTGACTCATGGAGGTTTATGGACTGGGATTACAAACGCAGCAATCTTCCGACCTATGCCCGGGGTCTGTTCACAAGCAAGAGGAAAGACGGCACTCCCGAGATTGTAGTGCGCGGTTACGACAAGTTCTTCAATATCGATGAGGTACCTACTACCAAGTGGCAAAATATCGAGACAGACACAAGAGGCCCCTATGAGCTCAGTGTGAAGGAGAACGGATGTATTATCTTCATCTCCGGCCTGGAGGACGGTTCCTTGCTCGTTTGTAGCAAGCATTCGACTGGAGTTCGACAGGACACGAACCTGAGCCACGCTCAAGCCGGAGAAAAGTGGGTCGAGCGTCATGTTGCTTCCACAGGAAAATCCGTCAAGGACTTGGCCAGAGAGCTGCGCAGGCTCAACCTTACCGCAGTTGGAGAGCTCTGCGACGATAACTTCGAGGAGCACGTCCTTGCCTACGATCCGGTCGCTGCTGGAATATATCTTCATGGGCTTAATTTCAATGTGCCACAGTTCGCGACATTGCCGAGCTCAGAAGTACATAAATTTGCAGATATATGGGGTTTCAAGAAGGCCAAATACCTCATATACGACGACATCTATTCGGTCAAAAAGTTTCTCGATCACTGCGCTGAGACCGGCACTTGGGATGGCCGTGAGACGGAGGGATTTGTCATCCGGTGTCAGCTAAGCGAAGGCGGAGGCCCGTACAGGGACTGGTTCTTCAAATATAAATTTGAGGAGCCATACCTGATGTATCGACAGTGGCGTGAATGTACCAAATCGATCATCGCCGGGAAGTTCCCCAAGATCAGAAAGCACCAGAAAATTACCGAAGAATATCTTCATTATGCTCGCAGGCAGCTCTCCCAGAATCCCAAGCTGGGCGATCTCTATAAGCAGAACCATGGAATCATCTCCATGCGAGAAGGGTTTCTCAAGGAGAGAGGCTTAAAGGGATCGGATATCATCGCAATGGAAGCCGGGAGCCGTGACAAAGTGACCCGAGAAGTCATTCTCGCACCCATCGCTTCGCTTGGCTGTGGGAAAACAACTCTGGCTCTCGCTCTAACCAAGCTTTTCGGCTGGGGCCACGTTCAGAATGATAACATTCCCAAACAAAAGAACAAACCGAAGAGGTTTGCGTTCGAAATCGCCAATCTCCTCGCGGATAAACCGGTGGTGATAGCGGACCGCAACAACCATCAGAGGCGGGAGAGAGAGCAGCTCATGGAAGATATACTGCCTGGGGCTCCGGGCGCACGGTTTGTAGCTCTTCACTACGTTCACGAACCGAAAGACGTTTTACTTCCTTCTATCAGAGAGGTTACGCGGAAACGTGTCCTTGAGCGAGGAGATAATCACCAGACCATCCGCGCCGGAACGAAGAACTCGGATGAGATTATCGGCATTATGGAAGGTTTCTTGAAACGATTCGAAGGAATTAACACGGAGCGTGAACCCGACAGCGGATTTGACCATGTCATCGACTTGGATGTTGCGGCATCTTCTCGGGAGAACCTCGAAACCGTGGTGAATGCGCTACATTCATTCTACCCGGACCTTCTGCCGCGGGTTCCCACGTCGCATGAGCTGGACGATGCCATTACCTGTGCGATGACGGATTACCATGTCCAACTCGACCTCAGCTACAGCTACGGGTCTACGAAGCCGAGACCGAATTCGAACAAGAACAAGGGTCAGAATGGCGCTGCGCCGACCCCAGCACATGCCCAGCCCCAGGAACCCACCCCAAGCCCCGAAGCCCTAGCCCAGAAGATCGAATATTTCTGCATCTCTATCCCAACAGCCGAAGTCACCAGTCTCCTACATTCGCTCTTCCCGCCTTCCACACCCCCGGAAAAGGCACGCCTGTACCATCATCTCGTCAACTCGCGCCGTCTCCAGCCCACCTTCCACGTCACCCTCATCCACCGCGCCAGCAAGTCCGAGCGCGCCGATATCTGGGACCGCTACGCGAACCAATATATTGCCAAAACGAAGGAGCAGACGGAGGTTCAGGTCGCGACTCCTGTCCTCACTCCGACTCTGGCGCCCGCGCGGGTCCGCCTCGAGCGTCTCATCTGGGACGACCGCATCATGGCCTTTGTCGCACGCATCATTCCCCCCGAGGACCGCGAGCAGCCCGACTGGCCGTGTGCAAATCCCATCCCGCACGTAACGGTCGGCACCGCCTCGGCGGAGGTCAAGCCCAAGGAGAGCAATGACTTGCTGAAGCGGTGGCTAGAGGTTGGATCGGGCGGGGAGACTGGGATCTGGGAGGCGGAGATTCCCGGCGTCAAGGTTGTGCAGGGCTCAGTTGGGTTGGTGATGAGTCGGGGGAAGTTGCTGAAGTGAGTTGAAGGTTTTGTACTGAGTCTACGCATGGGACGGAATTGTCACCGACCTGAAACTACATATTCTTTGCTATGCGTCTCTACTTGCGGTAGCGTCAGAGTAGGCTCAAACCAACGCAGTGAATACCAGCAGTTAGTGATCATCCTTCCCATGCCTCTCGTAAGCAAATTACAAGTGTATCAACAGCAGGACTCTCCTGATCACTTCGGACCGTATTCGCAGTAAGTCTTCGGATACGTTCGATTGATGGTTCTGCTCTAAGTCTATTAGGTATCCATGAACAAGGTGTACGGGACATGTACATAGTCATCAACTCTAGTATAATAGTAGATGCATCAGAAGCTCCCGGACCCAGACGGGCAGGCAAAGGCTCATACAGTGCAGACAAACGCTACGAAAGCCGTCAAAATAGTACACAGTCGTCAGTAGTACAGCTGCAGCATCTGAGAATGTGAACAAAAGATGATAGGGGAAGGATATCAGCTGGTCATCCAGGCTCCGACGCGCTGTGCCCCGAATCGTCCCATGAATTGCAGTCCGGTGCTACCCATGGGGAAATAACTGACCAGATACCAAGCCAGGGCTGCAAGCTGGAAAATGGACGAAATGAGGGTTAGGAGGGTGGAGTGGAGCTGTTTCGAGTCAAAGGTCAGCAGTAGTTCTGCGGTCTTATCGCGCAAATATTTCCATTGCCATTAGGTGCGGATGCTTGTGCCAAAGTGAGAGGAAAGATGGACTGTAGCATAACAAGAAGCAGTCGACGATCAGGGGCATGGCTCGAATCGAGGTCTGCACGATGCAACCACAAGGCCAAGAGCTCATAACAAGGGAAGCGAAGGTGCGTGGTGATGTCATCGTAAGAATGAGAACGCTGACTTGCATATGCACCCGCAACTCATTTACGGCAAGGGGGAACGTTATCAAACCGCCAATGCCAGTCATTGCAGCAGGGGTGGCGCAGAGGGACGAGGAAATCATGGCACTTACTCCGATAGCGAAGTAGAGAGTCATGGCAATCGAGCCAAAATAGGCGGCAGTGAATGGTAGCCGTGATCCCGAGACCAAATGCTTAGCGTAGACCAGGGGTCCCATGAGGACAGCCCATGATAGTAGAAAGAGCAGAGAACCGACAGACCATCTAGGATCAAAACCGGTTGAAGTCAGTCCAAGACACGGAACCAAGATATTCTTGTGGATGCACCGAGGCCGCGATATGATAAGTCACAGCAAATGGTACTACATGACCCTCAGCCACGGCATGACAACGGCTGCACCGCCTCGTGCCCCTCCCTCAAGGCTGCTTGGAAGAATGCAAGGCGGGCGCAGGATGGATGATAGTCACTGGCGGGATCTGGAATGGAACTTACAAAATGGCAAACTTGCGGGGTTTCAACGATAGCACTGGAAAAAGGAAAAAGCAAATCATGAAGCACACTGCGGCACCCAGGTTGCAGGCGATGAATATGAGCATCCGATCCCATCGGCTTACTAGCGAGGACAATGTTGATCAGTATGCCTTGAAAATTCAACTCAAATAGAGGTATCCGCGGCCACGCTGCGTGAAACCGACCTAGATGCAGGAACTGAGTCCCAGTCACCTGGACCAGGGCGAAGTAACCCACACAGGAGGGCGATGATCCGGATATCTCGGTCATGAGCGAGGATGACTTACGGGCAAGGAAACCTTCTTCCTCCTCCCGTCGAGTTGGAGCTGGAAGAGGAGCTCCTGGAGCTTCGTGAGTGGGCAGTCGCAAATAGCCCTCTCCTTGGCCGAACGGATTTAGTGACTGTAATTTCGATAGAAAGGGAGTGGAGGATGTGCTAGTACGAGCTGGTGGATCCGCATCTCTTCGAGACCAGCCCAATGAGTTGACAGAATCTCGGAACGAAGTAGTAGCCATGACTCTGATTCGGCTGAGTCTTCTGCCTTGTCAGGTCTTGTCACCTACCAAAAGACGATCAAGAGGGTGGGGATCCCGTTGCAGAGGCTATTGCTACAGCTAGAAAGGTAAGCGTCTCGAGACCGCTGAAGAAGCCGTAGTAGAATCCCAAGCTAAGGAAACGCCTGCAGGGACTATGCACGACGGAAACCAGTATGTGCGTGCAGATGATCTGCAGGAATCAAGAATGGGGGTGTGCGAATGCAACGCGGACACAGAGAAAAGCAAAATCAAATAAGAGAAATGGCTTCTGATAGGGTCAAGACCAGGCGGGCCAGCTGACTATTGCGCAACTGGACTAGACCCCGAGGAGCTTGGGCACGGGACGATGATAATCTTTCTAGCGCCGACTGAAAAAGATAGCCTTTCTCGACGGCAGTTTAGTTGACGTCTCAAGCTTGTTGACGTCTCAAGCTTGTGATCGCCGTCTGCAGAGCTATGGAGGTGTGCTATCAGGCTTCGGCTAATCGACGGCTGTATTTCCCCCTCCCACAGGACGAGTCAGTGTCGCTTCCGGATGGACAGAAGGTGTGTCAAAGAAGCGCGATCCCACACTCAAGTTCAGATGCCGGAGAAGCCCAAGATGGTGTATGTCTGGTAGGAGTGGAGAGTGCGCAGAGAACGAAAAATCAACGTACAGCTGCACGATAACGATGCTGTTCCGATAGCGTAACAATGGAAAGGATACTATTTCGAGCGGCGAGTATAAAAGGCGGTCGACAATAGGCTGCAAGATAGTCAGTTACTGTCATATGACTCAGATTGAGCAAGAAGGGGAAATAGGTGACGAGAGGGGAAATAAGTTGTTAAGGAGGGGGGAGGAAAGTTCGTAGTCGGTTCCCAGCTCGAGGCAGCAAAGGGAATAGTCGGACAAGGCCGCCACATACCTCAGTATATGATTCAGTAAATGCTTGTAAAAAGTAAGTCTCTCCGCAAAGCAGTAGACTACTATTCCCGATGACTATAGTGTCGGTGTTGAGATCTATTGGCGTTTGTTTCACCTTCTGAATCGACGACGATAATGACCTTGATGAGTGATGATGATAATAATTACGATGCGGAATGTTTCCCGATGGCCGCAACAGGAGCTTTGCTGGGGAGGTTGGGCTAGCGTTAGGACCACTGGCCAATGGGAGAGCTGGAAAGAGTGACTGGTGATCAGATGACGGAACTAAGCCCAGAAGAGCTGGTGACACCCCCCTCCAAAGCTCTCCTGGCCAATCAAAGACTGTAGATGCCATCGACTGTAGTGCTTCAATACATTTCATTGGTTGACCGCCTCATGGCTGCCCTCCTTGTTAAAAGGATCTAGTAAACAATATCCCTATCCTGTTCTGTTGATGTGCAACTGCTTTGTATTGACAGTACCATAATTGGCACTGTTTAGCACGGGGATAATAAAATATACTTAATGGAAAAAGAAACCTGAATTAAGTCAAAATATCTCAAAAATTCTTTGTGAAGGAGGCCAGAGACGAAACACTCTGAGCAGTGAAGAGCGAAGGCGACGCTTCCACCTTCATTATGGCACTTGGATACTCCGTAGACCGGATCGGAAAGTGTAAAGATCAACTAGCTTGGACAATGGTATTTTACGGTGAGGGTCGCAGATCCTAGTATTGAAGCGCACCGCTAGCTGCTGGCAACCTTGATTGTCAATCGAGTCGATCTTCGCTAGAACTGCCATGCCATTACTTGCATTCTGAGTTCTGACGATGTATTTTCGGAAGTCAACCGAGAATGATTCATGCGCTAAGGGCAGATAAGTTCATGTAGGTGAAGTTGCTTGTTGGTCGTATTGCGTGGCGCTTACAGAGAACTTGTCGCACCTGTAATCGGTGTTGTGGTAGGTAGGACATGGGAACTTATGCGGGGAGATAGCGCTTGGGTAGGTATTATCCCAGCTCTGTTGCTTTTGCAGAGCAAGCAGGTACTTAGTTTGTGAATGTTACACCCCGGAAGCCAGGCGGGACATAGACGCATAATCCGAGATGTATCACTGGAATCGGCATTGTACCTACAGAGTACATTATTTCCGTGGATGATCCACCCGTCCAGCGGAACCAGCGGAGATATTCTCCCTTTGATCTCATAAGAGGTTGCTATATACTAATAAAATCACCATATCAATGTCCATTATAGGACTGGGATGAGGAACAAAGTGGGGCAGATTGGAGCAAATCAAGGAAAGACGAAACAATAATAGCTGACGTACTGCGCCGGCCTTTGTTGGCGGAGAAGGGAGGGGAAGATACTATATTCTTGGAAGTCCAGATATAGACAGCTATTTACCGAGATGTACTCAAGCAAACCCCGAACCGGGGTCTCTCGCAACCTTGAATACTGTATTGTAGTATCCATTATTATTTTAAAGACTCCTTGAAGTGACCATGGGTTGCTGTTGGCCATAATCATGCACTCCGAACCTTGACGGGACGGGACGGGCACGAGCCAGAGAGCAGGGAGCTTTTCTATCACAATCTTCAGCCTAGGCATGGATCTCAAACAGTAAGGAAAACGAGAATAAACTGCAGATACCTATAATATCAGTGAAGGGGTCAAATAAAGCAATGTACAGAACGATGTATAATTCTGACTGCCTAGACTCCACAGTGGTCGTCTCAGGTAAGAGTGATTGAGATTACCATTTCCGAACCGTTAAATACCACCCGAGAACCATGACTTCATAGTTATGGTCAGCAACCAAAATCAAAAATCAGCCATTTGGCCAGCTATAGATTATTCTCTATCTGATCAAATATGAGTGAAAAAGCGGGTTTGTGGTGTCCATTGCTGACAGCATTCCGGTTAATAAGCTTCCCCCCGCATTCTTCTGACGACAGTATTCCAAATCATGATCTAATAATCGGAAAAAGATCGAGGTATGAAGCGCGACAGCCGTCAATATTCGCATACATACCTTTCTTCGCTCGATCCTCAGAATTGTGATAAGATAGGGCGGAATATGAGAGGACAAGCCTGGTTGGGCCATCAACATGCCCCTAGTGTTGTCTCTAGTATCGACTAGTTCGGGGTGCAGGACGCATCTCGGAAAGCGACATGATTCACCACCTTGCAGGGTCTCACGGACCGCTTGGAGACTAACAAGATTGTTAGACTTAAGCGGATTACGAGGTTCAGGGCTGTGGCCTGCAGACGGCTCAACTCCGTACTCAGGCGCTCGGACAAGTGGCGAGATAAGACAAGAGAAGGACGGATGATGAATCCTCGCAGTCTTATTGTTCCAGCTCCTCTGGGTCCAAGCACCAGTTTTGATACGAACATGGCAGTGACTTGCGAATACACCACCACAGCACCACAAGCTAGAAAGTCAAGTCTCGCGCTGAAAGTGAAACGGTTGAGCCCCTCCACAGGCCACATCCCCCACAGCGCACTGGCGATTCCTCCGGGTATGGTTTCCAGCCTGTCGAAATCGTCGATCTTCCTAGTGTCTCTATACATAGATTTTAGACAAGAGACAAGATAGAATCACAGGAGAGAGAAAGGAACTAACGACGACGGTTGCCTTTTCACTAGCTCAACCCTTCCACATGGTGGTGTCCCACGAATCAGACATTCTTGATACTTGATTCTCGACTCTGCATAACGAGTCCACGGAGTACTTTTCCACCCTCCACCACTGTGCTGCCCAACATCCGTGAGTCTCCCATTTCTGCCAAAATATTTGGACGAGGAGCATACATACACATGGAGCAGAAATAATGGTCATCGCAATGCAACAGAATAAGAGGGCGAGATGATGTCATGTCTGCTCCGTGCAATAATGGCTAAGAGCTCTAGATCCAATTAGATCCAAGATCAAATACTCACATTGCTTGATCATTCTTCGTCCGAATAGTGATCATTCACTAGAATTATGTATAAATCGTGTCGAGAGTGGAAGGCATGGTATGTAGGGTATTTCTTCTAGCCGGGCTGGACATCTGATACATTGCTACCAAGGAATTATCATGAAACCAAGGCAGAGAGGCTGACCATGAGAGTGAGTCATGATTCCCTTGTTGAGGACGAACAGGTGACAGCCATCGTACTGGACTGCTCATGGGATGAATGCCTACCTTATGAAGATGGTGGTGAATAATGCCCTAATATACTCGACTCGAGATCCTCTTCTTGTCTTGATCTGCCACTACTACCTCGTCGTCTTTCTCAATCCGGACTGTAACACCTCCATACACCATAGTTATTGTCTCCCCCCTCCTTTGGTAAATAAAATTCCATATGATGAAATTGCAGTGTGAGATTTATCACTTTGGTTGACCCTCCATCATCACATACTTCCTCCACCAATAGCGCACCGCCACTGGTCGGTCCACACCACTATTTATCGTTTTATTTACTTCATTTATCTATCCGCAGAAGAATTATCTGATAATTCAATACTCTGATAAAATAAATAATATATATATATATATATATATATAAATAAATAGGAAAAATAAACAACTTATTTTGCGGTAAATAGGCAATCAAGCTACGTAATGCTGTAGCTGCATCAAGCCCATCGATAGAAGATCGACACCCTGCATGACCATCACCGTGCTATATCAAATGAGAGCTTCCCAGGAGCGCCTCGAGAAGTCCTTAAAGCCTTCATTCCTTCATCCTTTCCATTCTGCAAAGGCGTTTGAATCAGATCATTTGTGATTACTGATTACTCACCCTCACAGTTATCATCTGCATTCATTGTCCCGGTCAGAGGACGACTGTTTTGTTCTATCCACTATCCCCAACACCCCGCTTGAATCCGATTCGATTCTTCTTCATGCAATTCATCATTCGCCAGAAGACGGACCGAAATCAAATCAAACCAGTTCGCCGCAGTACTTGCCGCGGAATCCATCCTGATTGCTCCTTTGAGCTCGAGCCCTCTCATCCTGTCTCCCGACTTTCCCGCGTACCAAGCGGATAACCTCAGGCAACTGTAAGCCATCCCAACT